GGAGCCTGCTTCTCCCTCTGCCTGTGTCTCTGCTTCTCTCTCTCTCTCCATGTCTCTCATGAATAAATACATAAAATCTTAAAAAAATATGACGGTCAGAGTGCTAAAATAGTAAAAATGACAATACTGGATAATACTAATCTTACTTATAAAGAAGGCACTCTCAGAGTGAACTGAGGGCACACATATAAAGTTGAAGGTTGTTTAGATGGCAAAGGAATATATTTGGCTGGAAAGAACATTATAATGTTGATATCTTAAATAATTTTGAAGAAAGAATTGGTTAGAAGAGATTAATAAGAATGGATTCTAGAAAAGGGAAAACCAAGAGCTGAGAATGTTTATGCATTCATTCATTTATTCAGCAGTTATATTCTGGTCACGTATTATGTGCCAGGCACTGTGCTAGCAGGAAGAAGAGAGAGAGAGAGAGAGAGAGAGAGAGAGACTGTTAATTAAAGCTGAAAAAAGACTAGACATAAGAAGTCAAAGAGGAAGGGTGTCTGGAGTAGAGAAATCATGAGATAAAAACAGCTTATGTTACTCGTGCATAGTGAGGAAAAGGGAGAATAGTAAAAAATGAAGTTGAAGAGCTTGCTGATAGAAAATCATTAAGAGTGTTTTCATCTGTGAAGAGTACTATGGATTTTAACCTATTGCAACAGAAAGGCATTAAAGGGTTTTACGAATAGAAGTGGCATCTTCTGATTTACTAAAATAAACAATCAAAAGAAAACAAACAAAAACCCCTTAATATTCACACAGGAGGATTAATTAAGGGGAATAACAGAGCAAGCAGGAGAAACAATTTGGAGGCCGTTATTGAAACTCTTGTGAGAAATGTTGTATTCTGTACAAGAAATTGGAAATAAATTATTAGATATTTTTACCACTATTCTAAAAAAAAAAAGCACCTGATCAGCTAACATATCATTATTATTGTAGCTTGTGTAGTAGTAGGTAGATCCCTATACAAAAGATAAATTCACTAGATTCACATACTTGGTGACATTGTCTACTTCTGCAATAAGATTAATTCTCCCCTCTGATTTGTATTGAACAAGCAAATTTCTGATTGACTACTAAATTAAATCTTTCTTTCAACTTTCCCAAAGTGTTATACATATTCATATTCAAAAATATAAATATTCTAATTATTCTAAAAATAACATTAGTTTTTGTAACTTTTTAAACTGGCATTTTGACTTATACATAAGCTTTTGATGTGATGATTAAAATGACCAAATACTACTGAATCTGATCAACTTTTAGTAAACTATTTCTAACCCCATATGACATTGACTTCAAAAAGTAAATAAGTCTTTCACTAAATTGCAAATCATTTTATCAATATATATACAAAATATTATATGTTTTAGAACATAGATATTAACAACTAAGATAGAAAAAAGCTTTATCACTAGATTGAAATTGATTTATTTATCTATAGGCTAGTCAATATGCATTTGGCTTGAGACAATAGTAGAAATATTAAAAATAGAGCAGGGGGAGTAGACAAAACACTAGACATTGAGCCAGTGACACCAAATTCAGGCTTGATATTTTCAGCTTGCTGAATATGAGAGTTTGTAACCATCAGTTAACCACTTCAGGCTACAATTACTTCCTTTGTAAAAGGAAAGTATTAAATCTGATAAAGATTAATATTCCATTCAGCTCTGAAATCTAATGTCTTATATAATATAAAATATAATCCATTAGTTCAATAAAGAAATAATAAAGGCAATGAGGAGAAAAGCAGAGATTTGACCAAATCAGAATTCAGCTTAATTCTATATAAATGGGCTAGTCAGTTAGTCATCAGCCATGAAATGGTCCTTTTTCTAAAAACACATTCATTCACCTACCCATCCAATCAGGACTATTATTCCCAAAAGGATGAAATATATGAGAATAGCTGTCACAAATATGTAGATGGATGAACTTTGTTTTGATAGTATAGAAATGAAAGGCAAATAACATAAAAATTCAGACAAGAAGCCCTGGAAAATTAATCATTAAATATTGATTGAAGGAAACAAGGCACTACAACCTACTCTTTGATTAATTTCTAATTTTTTAATCAAAATTAACCTAGTACCCACTGTATTGTGACAATTACACAATAAATTTTTTAAAAGATTTTATTTATTTTTTCATGAGAGACACAGAGAGAGAAAGGCAAAGACATAGGCTGAGAGAGAAGTAGGCTGCATGCAGGGAGCCCAATGTGGGACTTGATCCTAGGACTCCAGGATCACGCCCTGGGCTGAAGGCAGACGCTTAACCTCTGAGCCACCCAGGTGTCCCCAATTACACAAATCTAATGCAAAAAAATAGAGATGCCGGAGTGACTCAGCAGTTTGGCACCTGCCTTCGGCCCAGGGCATGATCCTGGAGACCCGGGATCGAGTCCTGCGTCGGGTTCCCTGCATGGAGCCTGCTTCTCTCTCTCTCTGCCTCTCCCTATATCTCTCATTAATAAATAAAATCTTAATATATATATATATATGTATTGCATTTCTAATATTATTAATTCATTCACAATTATTGAGTATCTATTATATGTTGGGTTTTATGCTAAATAATGGCCATTATCCTCGCTGCAGTGGAAAAGCAAATAAGTAAATGAGAAGGATAATAACTTTTCATAAATAAATTGAAGGAAATAATAATGGTGCTATGAAAAACCAGTAATATGGAGATTCTATATTACCAACCTCTTTTATGACAAAAAACTTATTGATTGGCTAGATATATTAATTTGATAAAGTATAATATTTCTTTGCTTTCATGTTAATAATGAGATGAAATAGCTAAAATTATTCTGTCTTTTAAGCTGTCATATAACCTAACTCTCTAGATTAATGGAAACAGAATTTTAAATATAGTGGATTAATTTTCTCAGTTACTTCAATATCCATTTGGTTGTTTCCTTTGGGCCAGAGAATGAATCTCAAAGGTAATTTAACTCAATTCCCTTAATAAATATATTTTTAAAGATGTATTAAATAAAGATATCTATTTTTTAAATAAAGATATTTTTAAAAGTAGATTACTTTTCCAAAGATACCCAATTAAGTAGTGGTGAAGCAAGGCAAGGAGTCCAGGCCTTCTTGAAATACAGTAAGTGTTGTTTCATTTATTATGTGTGGTTTCTAAAAGAATTATTGCCATTCAAAGAATGACCAGCTAAAAAGCATTTGTTCATAGCTTTCAGAAGGTTCATTGAAAAATTGAGTTGATTAAAATTGTATGAACTTTCTCTGGGTGCAAATATTTGTGGGTAGAACTAGTGATATTTCTTGGAGACTTCCGGAAGTTTGTAATTTAAATCAGAAAATTAAGGTGCAAAAATAGACAGATATAGTAATAAATATACAAGTAAATAAAAAATCTTTATTCTCACTGAATGTAAATAAGCTTGTCTACTAAAAAATAAAAATAGATATTTTTCACCGTGTCCTCATTCGAGAGGGTGAGATGGTAATGACTTAGCCTTTCTAGTTAAATAAAGAATTACAGGATAGTCAATATGTCAATTGGTGCTGGAATTTAATTAACAAGAAAATGTTTGTGTGAAAGACTGAGAAGATATTCTTGGCATACAGTTTAGTCACTGAAAAAGTTTGGTGATTAAAGTAGGGCTTTCCGAATAAATATCTATGGGAGTTTTAGGGAGAAGCTAAAATTCAAGTAGTGAAAGTTTTAATCTTGGTTGATAGTAAATCAAAACCACTATAAAGATCTAATAGCATAGGTTCTAATCTTTCTAAATTCCATTTTGAGATACATGAATAAGCATGCACACAACATACACACACTTTTCCTTTCTGATCTTCAAATTTCCATGTAAATGGTTGGGGGTGGGTGCTGGGAGATAGAGAGGCTGAGAGAGGGGAGGGAGAATAGGGATGATAGAAGATGTATCGTATGACCTATGTGTACTCCTCACTTGAACTTACTGTTAAGACATGGAAAACGTGTAAGGGGGTAGCATTGCATCTCAAGTAGCCATTTCTTCAGATTTCCCACCTTCATCTTTTTAGAACCCTTATTACAACTGAAGCTCAAGTCACTCTAGTCAACAATGCTTCCTAGCCAGAAGGAAGCTGACCAGGGTTATGAGAATTCTAGAGCAGCTGCTTCTCCTGTTCCGTTGGTATTCACGCACCAAATTTCCTGCTCTTCCCTGGCCCTTTCTAAGGGTCTGGGTTTACTGTTCACTCCTGCATCTCGATAGAAGGTCAAAGACATAGGGTCACATCCGTTCCTGAATTGTCCCTTTTCCCGGAAGGGAACAGTAAAGGGTCTCCCCAGCGCGGTTCTGCTACCCGATTCACAAAAACCTCTGACTCTCCCAAAGCTGACTCCTGAGTCTTTCTTCCCCCAACTCCCTCCAGTCACAGTTAAGGCTCTGCACCAGTTATTCACCGCTTTTTTTAAAGGGTAAAGCGTTACGCACCGCCTGTGGTCGTGAGTGGTCTGTCCCTCAGTCCCGCTGTGCGGTCGTGATTGGCAGACAGAACAGTGTCGTCTGGCTCCGCCCCCGCTTCCCTTTGCCGCGCTAGCTGTGTCGGGTTTTACTCAAAGGTGGAGAATGGGACTCGGCGGGCAGCGCTTGGAGCAGGTGCAGAAGCATCCTCGTTCCCGCTGTTGGGGCTATTCTTCCTCCCGTCTCTGAGTCAGGGAAGGACAAGCATTCTTCACCGCTAGAGCTTCAGTGAACTGTTGCCCAGAACCTAGGCACTTCTGACATTTCATCTCACCCCTTATTCCGCGTTCACTGTATAAATCACCTGCACATTTATACCCCGTGAATCTCCCTTCTGCTCGATGCTCAGAGCAGGGGTCAAAAGGGAATTCCAAGTGTTCCGAAAGCGCGGGGCTTTCCTGCCTGCGGAGAGCTGTCTAAGGTGCTGAAGCTTCCCTGCGTTCGTCTCCGGCAACACCACCCAGAGTTAGGTTGCACATTTTCATTCCTGGCTTTCTCTTCCCCCATGCCTTGGCTAAGACTAATTTCAGGATCGTGAAAATCTCTCCGTATCATGGCCCACGTGAGACACTTTCGGACGTTAGTTTCGGGATTTTACTTCTGGGAAGCAGCACTGCTACTCAGGTGAGTCCGCTTGTATTTATCATCGGGAGAACCATCTAAGCTTGTGCACTATGTTGCAACCACTTGTCATTGATGAAGTCAAGAATGCAATTCGAAATTGACTTGTTGAAAGTATCCCTTAAATCTCATTGTTTTCTATTTAAAACTGTCTAGCAGTCTTCCGAGACCTCTAAAAACATATGACTTTGCTCTATTTTCACTAATTACTGCTTTATAGTAACTGCTCTCATATTATTTGCAGCTGAGATTACCTTAGAAAAATTATTTCCAAAACCTAGATTTTCTTTCTCAAATTGCTTTTAGAGTTTCTTTTTTTTCTAAGTGAAATATAAATTCTGAGTGTTACTCTCTTTTTGGGAGTTACAAAACATTTAGTGATTAGAAATAATATTTTTTAAGTGGCAAAAAAATCTAGAACGTAAGCATTTGCTGATTAGAGAAATTCTGAACATTGTTGGTATATCCAGAGGTCAAGTTAAATCAATAACATTTAGGGCCTTGCAAGTACCATTTCTAAAGAGCTTAGTTCAGGTAATACACGAAGGAAAAATCATACATAAATCATTAGATATATTCTATGTCAAGAATAATCCTTTTGGAGAAAGTGATATTACAAGAAACCTACTGAAGAATAAAATTTTTCTATGATATGTAATTTTCTTATCATGTCCAGTCATATTTGCTGGGCTTTCTTTTTTTGTAATTTTTATTTTTTTAAAAAAGAGAGCCTAGTCAAAAGATTAGCTAGGTTAGCCCCTAATCTTAATCAAACAATATATAAGCATGATTATGCTCATAATAGACTTCTCAACCACCAATATAAATGTTACTTTACTCTTATAATTACCCTAAAATTTCCATTTTTATGGCCCACAAGCTTTACAAGAGGATTGAAATCAAATACTTTTTTTTTCTCAAGTACAATGTTGAACCACTGTAAACTAGGATATTTTCAGTGAAAAATATTTTAATATGACTGTAAACTTTTGTAACTACAATTGTCACAAATTTTATATATAGTGATTAAAACAAATAGTGTTGAGTTTTTATATTTATAAAAACTTCATGGAAAGGAGCACAAAATTCATGTTATAAGTGAAATGGTTCATTTTACTACAATTATTTCTTAGTATCTTAGATGATGATATGCATATTATTTTCAAAGAAATAAAAATAATTGCAGACACTTAGATTTAGAAAGTTTAATGTCAGTAACTAAACCATTTTGGTCAATAAGGTTAAATTTGTATAATGGTAATTCACCATGATATTTGTTATAATATGTTTTTAGGTATATAATCTTCATTAGTACATCCTTTGATTTTTGTCTAAAATGTAATCCCTTGAATAACATATACCCAGTATAGAAGTTTGTGCGGTATATATATATTCTTTATTATCAGGTTTTTTTTCTTCTTTCATAAATTGAATAAAATTTTTCCCTTGAATGAGAGTAATTCATATGAAAAACTTTATATTAAAAAATTTAAATATATTTATTTTCACTAATAGCCTTTAAAATTTTCTATAGTTCAAAAAAAAAAGGGAGGCACCCTCTACTGGAAGTATTTTGTAAAACAAATGGTAAATTCTAAAATAAATTTGTATAATGGTAATTTGCCATGATATTCAGTAGAATATATTTTTAGGTATGTAGTTTTAATCAGCACATCCTTTAATTTTTGTCTAGTTTTATTTACAAAATTTTATTTCAAAATGATGATCATAATTATAAGAATTTACCTTCATTAATATTAAATAATAAGAATGCTTTTTATGAATAATCCAAAAATGTAATCTCTTGAATAATACATACCCAGTATAGAAATTTGTGTGGTTTATTATCAAGTTTTTCTTCTTTTATAAATTGGATAAAAATTTTCCCTTAGATGAGAGTAACTCATCACTCTATTAAAAACTTTAACTATATTTTAAAATTTTAATATATTTATTTTCAGTGATGGATGTTAAAAGAAAATTTCCTATAGTTAAAAAAAAAGAAAAAAAAGTGAAGCTCCCTCTACTGGTAATATTTTGTAAAAGAAATGCCTTTATGAAAACTATTCTTTATTCACTAAGTCTATTCTCATGTATCGAGGAAAAAGGAAACATAAAGAAAAAAATAAAGACAAAAAGTATTTAGTGCTAATTTATAAATCTATCTTTTAAATTTGGAAATATTCTTTTAGGGTAATTTGGAGGCAAGAACTACGACTGAACACTAGATATTTTTAATTAAATAATCTACTAGTACAAGCTTCTTTTGACAAGTTTTAAGGATTTTTAAAAATCTTATTGAGAGATGCACTCAGAAAAGTATACAAATAATAAGCTTCTATGTAAAGTTTCACAAGGGTAACACAGTCATGTGAAGAGACTATGGATCAAGAAGTGGAATTTCCCTAAAAAACTAAAAGTGAACTATCATATGATCTGGTAGTCCCAACTATGGTTATTCATGTAAAAGAATCAAAGTCAGGATCTTGAAGAGACATTAGTAATTTCACATTTATTGCAGTGCTATTCACAATAGCTAAGGTGGGAAAACACATAAATGTCTGCTGACAGGTGATGGATAAAAAATGTGGTATATAGATACAAGGCAACACTATTCAGCCTTTAAAAAGAAGGAAATTCTGCAATATGCAATGACATGGATGGATTTTGAAGACAGTATCCTTAGTCAAATAAGCTAGGCATATAAAGATAAGTACTCCATAAGTGGGGGGTGGGGAGTACACACTCACAAACACACTCACCCTCCCACTGCCATACCTTTTCCAGGCACTACTTGACCCTAAATAATCCCTATTTTGACCTATTACAACTATAAATATGTTTTTCTGCTTTGCAACTTTATATAAATACTTATTTAAGTCTGCTTTATTTTTATGAGCATTATGTTTATATGATTTGTCCATATTAGTGCATGTAGCAATAGTTTGTTTTTCTCATTGTTGTATAGTATTCCATTACATGAAGATATTTCAATTTATCCAGTGTCCTATGAAGGATATTTGGGTATTATCTTAAGTTTTGGCTAGTGCTGCTATGAACATCTTTGAACATGTCTTTTTGTGAATACATGTTAATGCATGTGAATATATGCATTTTGGGGATAGTATGGGTTGAACCTACGACTTCTCTATGAGAGGAATTTCTGGGTCATAGGATGGGCATGAATATGTTTGGCTTTATTAGAGATTGCAAATTTTCCAAGGTAGTTGTACCTATCGATACTTCTATCAGCAATGTATGAGGGTTTCTGTTTTTACTAGTACAAAATTTGTTAAGTGCATATTATTATAAGCATTTCTAGCATTTTCTTAAACTATTATTGCAGGCCCACAGATGATATTTTAATTCTTTTATTTTGGCATAATTTCTACTTTTTTAGTAAATGAGTTTTACTAAGGCAAAAATAGTGGAACAAAATTATTTATTATTTATTTCTATAATACAATTAGAAGTATTCATTAATAGAATATATCAGATATTTAAAAAATACAATTTTTGAAGGGGAATTATTTAAAAAGATAATAATTTTAAAAATACAAGAAAGAAAATTGTGCAAACAGACTCAAGAAATCTGAATTTCCTAGTAGAGTTTTTTTAAAGTTTCACACTTTGCTCAGATATTGCTGCTTTTTGAAATAATCCTTCTAGGCTTTTGGGTTCTAGTCCTCATATCAATAAAATAAAGAACAAAATACCAGTGTTCAGCTTTCTTTGAAATGCAGATAAAGTGATGATTATGAGGAGCTTGCAGAACAAACTCTAAAAACAGGAGAACTGCCAAAAATACTTCATTTAAATTGATTATTTTCATAAGATACAATTTTATTTTTCATTTTTACAATTTGATACCAACACAGACTTTGCTACTTGAATAAATTTATAGTACACTCTGTCAAAAACTAAATGTGTGAATTTCAGACTTCATGATAATCACAAATAAAATGCTTTCCTGGTTTATTTTGAAGCCTAAAAAAAACATTTTGACATAGAACTTCTTATTTTTGCTTTTGGTATGTTTTGGAGCATGGAGAAAATCCTTTTTAATGTTGGGTCTATTTTCTTATGTAAGATACTAAGAAAAATGTCCTTCAATGAATAAACTTTTTTTACCATATTGATTTCTTATATGCAGGTACAGTAACAAGATTCTATGTAGTTTTTAAAATTATGCTGCACATAATATATGCTTCTTACCTTTATGTCTATAAATACTCATATGTCCGAAGCATAGAAGGATCATGGCCCAGTTTTCTGGTCAGTGCCTCAGGCAATTTGCCCTGCAGATTCAGACAACAGCTTGCAAAATATTTCTTATGCTACTATTTTTCTTCCCTTAACTATAATTATGTACAGAGACAAGTCAATCAACAAATATGTATTTAATGTGTAATGTTAAGCAATTCAACAAAATTACCAAATTCTGTGCACAAATTTTTGTCCTAGGTACACTTTGGCTGATTGGGAACTACCACTTTTCCCAGGATGGAACTTAAAACACAGCAGGGAAGAAAGTACAAAGAACCAAGTTAACAAAAGAAAAGCACAAATAGCAATGTTTTAGAAACGTGAGGTAGGATAGCTATCTAGAAGGCTTTGTACTTGTGTTGGATCTTAATATGCTTGTTCACTGGGCAGAAATGAGACATAAAGGAAATGATAAAAAGTTTATAGCATGCTTAGGGAGTGGTGATGGTCGAAATCACTGAAGAAATTCTGATTTATAGTGTGCATTCATATTGTACCTGCAACAACTACTGAGCTGGCTGCAACAATAAACCTGCAGAAATATGAAGAAGCAACAGTAGAATATGGATAAAATTTAGAAGCAATAGACATGGGTAAAATTTAGAAGAAATAATTTAATTATAATAGGATAGTTGTTATTATGGGAATGATCTTTTAACTAGGCTCATAACATCTCGATAAGATTGCTAATAATAATTACTAGTAGTAGGGACACCTGGGTGGCTCAGTCAGTTAAG